CAGCCAAATGAATCTTTTGGTTTTTAACTGTTTCCAATGCCCATATATTTTTTCTAAGTACAGAGACCAAAATCATAAACAGTACTCTCAGTTGTGACCTCACCAACACGTGTACAATTGTAACAAGACTCAATATTTTTAAAGCCCACCCCCACCTGCCAAGGAGGGCAAAATTTCATTGGCTACTTTAATTACCTGCTGCACCTGCATGCTAATATTTTACTTCCTGCTCAAGAACACTCTCTGATCCTCCTGCACTACACTACTTTTTCTTTCAAAAGTGTCCGTCCTCATTAAAATAATTCGGCCTTTGGTTTGTTGCTACCAAAGACCTCTTACTTTTTTCTACTTTAAACTCATCTGCTGAATTCTGTCCACTCGTTCAACCTATCTATATCCCTTTGCAGATTCCTTCTGTCCTCATCACTACATACCTTCCCACCTACTTTTATATTGCCAACAAAATTTGGATATATTACACTGCACCCTCCTCGAATAATTAATGTGGCTAGTGAATAACTGTAACCTAAGGACTGATCTTTGTGGCACTACACTAGCTACATATTACCAACCTGAAAAAGACGAGTTGATCCTGACTGTTTGGTGTGTTAACAATTGTTAATCCATGCTAATACATTACCATATGCGAACTCCTATCTTGGACAATAACCTTTTAATGTGGCTCCTCATCTAATGCCTTTTGGCAATTCATATCAGCTACTTCTACTGCTTCCCTTTTATCAACTCAGCTTGTTGCATCCGGAAAGCACTGTAGCAGGTTTGTCAAACTTGATTTTTCCCTTCACAAAATCATGTTGACTCTGATTTAAGCTTTTCCAAATATCTTGTTTCTTTTATAATGGCTTGCAGCATTTTCCCAATGACAGATGTTGGTGAGATCATGTCTGGTGTACTGTGGGCAGTTTTGGTCCCTTTATTTAAGGAATGATACCATTTCATTGGAGGTAGTTCAGCGAAGGTTCACTTGGGTGATTCCTGGTATGGAGTGAGTGTCTTGAGTGAAAGCTGAACAGGTTGCGACTCTAATTGATGGAGTACAGAGGAATGAGAGGTGATCTTATTGAAACATGTGGGATTCTTCAGGGACTTCAGTAAATGATGAGAGTATGCTTCCTCTTATGGGAAGGTCTAGGACCAGAGAGCGTACACTCAGAATTAAAGGGGTGCCAATTTAAGAGAGATAAGGAGGAATTGCTTTTATTTCAGAGGGATGAGTGTCTTTGGAATTCCTTAACACCAAAGGTGTGAGGGTAGAGCCTTTATGTATATTTAATGTTGAGACACATTTTTGATCAGTGGGGGAATCGAGGGTTATGGGAATACTGCACAAACATGGGCATGAAGAGTGTTGAATCAGCCATGGTCATATTGAATGGCGGAGCAGGCCTGCTCCTGTTCCTTATGTTTGTGTGTTAGGTTAATTTTCCTATCCTTTCCTGCTTTTTGCCTCCCTTCTCCTTTTCATGAAAAGCAGTTTTCCAAACCACTTGGACCCTTCTGGAATTCCATGTCTTCTGGAATGTTTGAATCAATGCCTCCACTATCTCTTCAGCTAGTTGCTTTAAAACTATTGGATAAAGGCCATCTGGCTGTAGCAACTGCTCTGTGTTTAATCCTGTTAGTTTGTCAAATATGGGTGGTGAAATTTCTTTTAAAGTAGAAATCCAGCTGGTCGGATGAAAAGACGACAGTAAGTTTGCTGCAGGCTTCATGGAGGATGCAATTGTAAAACAGCTAAGATTAAAAGTTAGCACATTTTACAATAAATGCGTGTACTTGAGAATGCCTTTCTTTCACTACCTAATTGTATATAAACCAAAATCACCACCTGAGAAACACTTCTAAGACTTGGCGCATTGAATAAATCTATTTAGTGAGTTTTACATTCCCTGCACTGACTAAAAGTTTGGAACTTGTCCATTTATAGATTGTGTAATAATGGTGGCATTGGTAAATAAGAGCTTCTCAGTCAAGACCACCTAAAACATTTTAATACGGTAACAGATGATTTTGCTGATCAAATTTGAGTAGCACTTTGAGTGATAAGTAAATTGTAACCTGTGATACTTTGTAGGTGGTCATTGAAGATTACCCGCCTTCTCAATTGATGGAGGACAATGAGGAAACATCTCATTCTTTGGATTTGGTTCCTCAACCACCTGAACACCAGCAGAACACCCAATCATCACAAAATTCTCAGACACAAACTGAGTATATAATAATAGAGAGTGATGAAGATGCAGAAAACGAAGAGGATCAAGAGCAGGTAAAAATTGAGAACTGTTGGGTTGGGATCCAAATGGTGTTGAACCCACATTTATGAACAGTAACTGAATGTCACCAAGTAGTTTGCTAAATGGTTAGATGTTTTGCTGAGAAACGTGAGAATGGGAGATTTGTTTGCAAAAAAATGTACACAAACCGGTATTCAATGCATTCAGCATTTATGCTCCATTTGAGTCTCTTGACACGTGACTATCAACATAATTTTTTGTTCATTTCTCCGTCATGTTTGTTTTCCTTCCCATTACAGCATCAATGATTTTACTTTAGTGATTCCTTTAGCAGCAAACTCCATGCTGTCTCCGATCATGGTAAAAAATGTTTATTCTGTATCTGATGTGCTGATTTATCTTGGCTTATCTTTTCTTAGTGTTTTCTGCCAAAAAGCTTCAAACCCTGTTAAATCAACCTTTACCTTCTATTGAAGAAGGTATTCTGGAGAAGAGACCCAGTCTGTTTACCCTTTCCTTATGAAAATTACCTCAATTCTGATGTCGTCCTTCATTTTTGTTATATTTTCTAGTGGTTGTATAGATTTTTTTTTTTTTCTGTTATGTAGAAATCAAGCTTGGAGCCTTTACAATTTTTTTTGAGTTTTTCAAATAAATGATTAATTTAAGTGGAGCAGGTGAGGCAAAAGAACAAAATAACAATAAAAGAACTGATCATGGTGTGGCAGGAAGAGACAATGAGCAAATCTTTGCACCACCTGATAACACTATAAATAACAAAATAGTAAAAGACAGAATTAAAGGCTGTGTATCTGAATTCACTTAGTGTTCATAACAACAGTTAAATTGTCAGCACAAATACATGTTTATTTCTATCATTTTGTGGCCATGTTAAATTGCCCTGTAGTGTTTAGGGTAGTGCAGGCAAGTGGATTAGCCATGATTCTAAATCACTTTTTGAATGGGTAAATTATTTATAGGTCATCTAACAAGCAAATTTTATCCATGATCTACAACAAGGAGCAATGTGAACATGTGGGAAGGATATAGTTGAACATTCATGAGAAGTAGAAGCATGATTAGGTAATTCAACCCTCAAGCCTTGAGTATAGAAGTTGGGAAGTTACGTTGCAGTTGTACGGGACATTGGTGAGGCTGCAGTTGGAGTATTATGTTCAGATTTGGTCACCTTGCTATTGGAAGGATGTTATTCAACTGGAAAGAGTGCTGAAGAAATTTACAAGGACGTTGCCAGGACTCCAGGAACTGAGTTTTGGGGAGAGGTTGGACAAGCTAGTACGTTTTTCTTGAGAGTGGGGGAGGGGGTGTCTTATAGAAGTGTCTAAGATCATGAGAGGTG